TTGGGCCTTGGATTTGTTTTGTAACCCTTTGCAACTCAGATCCAGACACGGTGGAGTTGCATGGTCACACCCGTACCACACGGTGGTCTCACAGGAACTCTGCACTGGTCGCACCGTCCTTGGTACCGTGGGCCAGGTCATGCCCTCCTTCGAAAGTACCTCGAGCTACGGGCGCGGTGACCGGGGCGATCTGCGATCCAAAGACGTGTTCTTTGTTGTTGGAACCAGGTGACATGGAGTTCCCGATTTGCCCGCACTTCTATTTCAATGAAGAGCCTATCTTTGAGCCAACAAAATTGACTCTAGGCGTTTAGAGGGTAACGTAGCGAAAGTTTATTTGACCTTCAAGGGATCAAGAACCTGACGGCACTTCCACTAGCTGTGTGATCCAACCAATGGATGGCAATTGTATGCACTACCCGATAGCAGACATGGGTTTGCTAAAAAGTGCAGGTGACTGACCAGGGTTCTTGGCCCTTGACCAACATGGATTTGGGAATGCTTAGCACTCTTTCAGGATCAAAACTCAGTGCTTGGTGGATAAGGCAGGGATCCACCCAACTCACAAATGCCTGGCCAATGTTGCAGACAATCACTTCAAGTCCCCTCCAACTCACCGCTCACCGACTCACCGATCCAAGTTGCTTGAAATCCAACGCCAGGGACTGCAGAGTGGCAGATGCCGTTCCGGCGGAGAAGGAATGGCTGGGAGCCTCAGCCGAAACGCTCTCCATGGCAATCGCCTCCTTCGGACAGGATGTGTCCGGCACCATCGAACAGCCGGACCTGCGCCGCCTGTGCGTAGTTCACATCAGCATGCGGTGTTTCCATGTGATCCCACTTGGCAACGTAGGATAATACGCAAAATGCTGGTATCCACCGTAGCTGCCGGTAGGAAGGGGGATCATGTGGATGTTTCAGATTGTTTCAGTGATGATTCTCAGGATGTTCTCACTGATCCGCCTACTAGACTCACTAGAGTCACTCCATGAAGTGCCGGCAACAACTTCTTGCGGGTTACTGTAGTATTTTGCGCATGGCCATCACTACTGATCTGCAGACCGCAAGAACGGTTCACCCATTAGGGACCAGACAACGCGAAACCTGGGCTGGCCCATCATATATCACTATACCTGGACCATCCGATAGGTGCCTAATGGACTATCCTGCACTACTTAGGGATCTCCATTGGACACCCATCAGATGGTTTAGGTATGCTGCACAGCACTGAGGCTGAGCACCACAATGAGCATTTTTCAGGACAACAATGATCCTGAGAAGGCGGGAATGTGGGCGCCACAAGGTTTGCGCTGTAGAGAATTCTGAAGATGTAGATTCCTACGAGCAATAACAAGATTGGATTAGATAGATTCAGTTTTGGTTTGGTGGCCATCCAAGGGAGGCTGGGAAGCGCAGGGTTACCGGCTTGGCATTCTTCACACAGAGAGGCCGCATTTGGTGAGATGCTTTCAAGAGAGCAAGATTTTGGCTCACATATTTGTCAAACCAAATGGCGGGCTCCGCCTAGTGCCGTAGGAACATTTTCACAAGTTGAATGGTTTGTTCCCTCATTCAATGCAACCACAACAAACTCCAGAATACACCTTTATATACATAGCCGCTAGCCCATATAATTACCCCACTCGGCAAAGCAGCTTAAGACCCATGGTGATTTAATCCTTGGGCTACGTGTGTGGGAGGACGAGACCCTTGGTACTGACCATAAGCCAGCTAAGCACTGCAGCCCTGCAGGGCACTTCTGGATGGGGCGTTGTCGGACACCAAGCTACCGGTACAGGGAGCGAGCTTCTTTTGTCGCAGCTGTAGACCGGGTAGAAGACCATTGCTAAAGCGACTGGAAAACACGTCAATTTGAGCATCCTATCTCAAGCAGGAGTGGACATAGCGGGTGACAAGTTATGTTGGGATAGACAAGACTGTGCCACACATAGACCTGCTCAAGACGCCAGGTCGTATAGGCCGGGTTGGCCACGTTGGCCTCGGACAGTCGGTCCTGGGGAAGAAACGGGCCCTGGAACACCAGACCGGCCGGCCCTACCGTGGTTTGGAGGTTCTGAGAGATTTGCTTCCGAGTTGAGCAGGACGAGTAGAGCCGGCGAGGGTGATATGCTTCACATCAAAACACCCGTTTGAGTTCCGGGTTTGGGAGGACTGCAACGCCAAAAAGCCTCCGTGGTTTATGATTTTGGTTGCTGCAACCGTTGGACCTGCGAGAGAACCCCCTTGGACCTGAGATGGCGAAATGCAACCCCTGACTCGTTGCCAAAACTTGGAGTGATTTTGCGGGCCAAACCCCTGTGATTCATTCAGGACATCACGGCGTCTTAGGGTCGTACCTCTAGCACGAGATTTTGTTTTTGGTCATTGTTTTGCATGTAGAAACCTCCAACCCCAGAATGCAGAACAAACATATTCTGTTAGACTAGATTGGGCACGTGCATGTGTTGGGTATAGGGTCTTGTTTGGTTCAACAAGCTCTTCAGATTTCATCGATCATCAGGTTGTTCGTGGCGTGTTGGACTTCAACCAGGCACCCACTGAACAAATCCTGAAGACACAACAGCAATCTCCAGTGAAAGGCACTACTGACACTGCAGTCACCTCCTCTATCTCTTTTAGCTTCAACGAAATCATTTGCTGCTGCGCTCCTGAGGTCCCTCCACGGAAGCGGGTGATGCCAGTGCTGATCGACGAGCCGTGCCCCCGCGCGAGAGGATTTCCCCGAACTCTTTACCAATGGTGGTCCTCAGAACGATCTTTCGTTGGGAACTTGCAACATCTTGTGGCTTTTGGGAGATGCAGTGCTCAGTGGTGCGCAGCATTTGCGGCTTTTTGTAGCTCCCCAACACACTGACTACGCGGCGGAGTCGACATGGCCACGAAAGCAGACCTGCCGGCAGTTCAAGAGGCGGACCGTCAGGAAGCTTGGACTGACTTTGGGATGTGCAGGACCTTTCTGCTTAATGTCTCTAGCAGTTCGTGGGGTGCTCAAAATTGCTCCAATAGAGCATGTGTTTTTTTTGCTGGACGAACCTTTCCAATTCAAGGCCTCTGACATCTTGGGATAGGAACTGCGTTGTGGGATGCTGTGAGTTCTGAAGCAAAATACACCCATGGAGGCGCTTGTTGGTCAAAGCATCGCTGCTCAGCAGTTGGGAGCAAGCCAGTCGAAAGGTGCTCAGTCGGGTGGTTTGTATGCAGAGCTGATTCAGGGATACGGCAAATATGGCAAGCAATAGTGCAAGCAGGTACAGTGATGTTCGAAGGGGGATATGGGCTAGTACAACAACATGTTCAGTTTGGAATCCACAACCATGTTCATTGCCTTGGTTGCATCGGAACATGTGGCTTTTCAAGCTGATGGGGAGATCTCAAAGTGTCGGCGAAGAAAGGCGTGTTTTTTCCATAGTCCCCAGGGCCCTCGAGTCCACCCTGAGTCATTGGCTTCAAAACATGGTGGCCCTCACAACCCTTTTGTAAATGGACACTTAATATCAGTAAGACATAGTAAAACATAGTAAAACTATTAAAGCCGGTGGATTTGTTGGGTCTTACTCTTGGAGCCACATCCGAACATGTCAAGGTGGTTGTATGCTGAAACATGCTGAAACCTTGAAAAGAAAAAGCCAATGGCCATGGCTCAAACGCACCTTCATACTCCAATATATACTACTAGCCTCTGGTAAACTAATAGAGAAGCAGCCTGTAGACCATCGAAACTTCGTTGAACATGGATCCTCGTTCAATTTCTTTGGAGACCCTAAATTTTAGCCTTTCCTTCGCGAGACTGACAGGCTCACTCGCTTGACTGGGGGGTCCGATCGTGGCGTCCAGGATGGAGAGCTCGAGGACGGGCACTCCCGATCGCCCGATCGCTCGGCTGCGTACCGGATCGCTCAGCTGCTGATGCGAGTGTCTGTGGGTTTTCAAAGGAGGGGTGATCGCAAGAGGAGGCAATCTCAAGCTCACGGCCACAGAGGTTTCATTCTAGGTTTTGATGGATTCTGCGAATCGAGTCTATAGGAGCATTCCGGAGAAGTCCCGCGACCCACACTGGTGTGGAAATAGAGAAAACGTCCGCCCAATTGGGGGGTCCTCACTCTTGGGGGGTTCAATTCCTATCATGACAGCCGTGTGCTGTTCTCTTTCCCCTGTGTCCCTGTCAACGGTTGAGCCGAAGATATTCCAAAGTGAGAATGTTTGTGTTCGCTGTTGCGGCAGCTACCTCTCTCGCTACCGCTGAGCTACTGCGCTGGCTCTCGCCAAGGAGACCACGTCGGAGCCCTCCGATATTCCGATTGCGTCACACCTGTCGAGAGCCACAGACGCTCGGCGGCCAGAAGCGGTGCGTCTGCGTCTGCATCTGTTGCGGTCCGCAGATGCGTGGGGATCCACACTACCCGATGTTCCAGACACAACAGTATAGACAGTATAGAGTATCCAGACAGCATACAGTAGGCATTTAAGAGGTCTTGGATGGTCTCGGTGCACCTATGTGCACGAAACTTCTTGAAGGATGTCATGAGTTGCGGAGGTGGGTCTTGCTGTTTTTCCTGCTACTTTAGAACCTGCAATCATGTTTGAAGGACAACAGATGTCAATGTTTAGTTTAGGCCTCTCAACACAATCCACTTGTTCTTCAATGTAGAGTTCAGGAAGGAGTGTAGGGTTGGACAAATGCACCAAACTGTTGGAAGGGAACAGTACATTCACATGCCATGCTAGACAACATCCCAAATCAACACACATGAAAGAATCTAGACGCTTTCTTGGTCATATCCCAGAAGTCTTCCAACATGAACAGTCCGTGCATGAGATGCACTCTTGCAGCTTTGCACTGCAGCCGACTCCGCCTGTTGTAGTCCTACCTTGGATGGGAGAGTTAAGTTTTTGGCTCTTATCCCAGCGCGCCTGGCATCAGCAAGGTCTTCACTGCGGTCGTGGAGGAGTCCTTCCTCGAAACCCACAAGAACCATGACATGAGTCGCCAAACGACCAGAAAGCCAAGTCTGCAGAAATCTCGCCGCTGCACGCCTGAGGTGCAGGGAAAAGCATGAAAAAGCCCAGGAGAGGGGGGGTTGCGGAGTGCCACCATGCCACCATGTTGAGCTGGATTCGAAAAAGCCCGACTCGGCCCGACAGAACACCTGGTCATCTGCCACCGCTGCCACCGCCGTTGAGTGACGGTTGAGTCTTCCGGATTCGAGACCTAAAATGAAGAACCAAAAACCCTCATGGCAGGTGAGGGCCTTGGGCATCTCGTGCTTCTTATTCAGCTTGATCACGGTGATCCAAGTCTTTGCCGCGCATTTGGCCCACTCCCAAGCTCTAATGATGGATTGCATCTCCATGGGCGTGGATGCCTTCACCTACCTTGGACGCTAAGAAACAGTCAGCGACGATGACAAGAGGAAAGCGAGAGGGGCAGTTTGGAGGTCCCACAACCGCCGTTGGTGGGACATTTTGTTTGAACATCTAATATGTTTACGCAGACGCCTTTATAGGTACCGGCCCTAGTACCGAGTTGCTGGTTCAGTTGCCAAGTGGAGTCATCAGACACCAAGCTGGCCGTGTTCTCCACTACCTAAAAACAAAATCAAGAATGTCAGAACCGATCCATCAAGAGTAGACGGCCTTTGTTCGATTTTGGGATTCCGGCGTTGTGACGCAACATTTTCAGCGGTCGATTGCTAGGGGAAACTAAGACACAAGGGAAGAAACACATGTGTGAGGGGGCCAATTTTGTTTCTCACCTGCACTTCACTGCACTTCAAGGTTTGCAACACCCTCAGACCATGCCTGTTTTCGTGGAAGAAATCTAGCATGTCGCTGTGGAATCGTTTCTTGCACAGGAAACATCCTGGTGGAATGCCGAAAACGTGACGGTGGCCAACATGTTTGTTCACAGCTCGTAGTCGTCGCGCTTTCCATGGGCTCCTTGGCGACTTTCAACCGGTCACGCCGAAGCGACGGATGGGTGCTTCGAGGGCTGAGGCGCTAGCAGCAGGGTCGGTGCTTCGTTCGAAGACCCATCATAGGCTATAGGCTATAGGTCTTAAGCGTGGTCAAACTCGCAAACTCACGTGTTCGTCGCGAGGTGCTGTTTTCACAACAGTTCGTCGTTTGTGACAGCCCGTTTTTTGTTGGGGTGAAATTGGAGAGTAATACGGCCCTGCAGGAAATGAACCAAACTACAAGCAGGCACTGGTATCACGATAGTTGTAGGGAACGAACAATGACATCAAGATAGACGAAACATGAATTGCTGTTAGTGATTGTTAGTCAATGACATTCATGAAACAACCTGACAATTTACAAAATTGCAGATGTCAGAGATGTTTGTGGAATATGGCCTCTATTATCCTCTACGTATACATTGAAATGAGCTAGCATCCGAAAGCGAGGCTCACAAATTCAACACATGTTTCATTCACTGCATTAAACTTCAAGTGCAAATCATATTGGGTTTGCCCATGTTTGCCCCAACATGAGGGAAAGCCAAGCACGCTGGTTTCATCCACTTCCACCCAGCCATTGTTTTTGCTTTTTATCTGAGTACCCTTATCCAGTACAACAGCTCTTGTGCATGGCACCATAATATGGCACCCAAAGAACTCCCCAATCTTCACAGCAGCAGCTCTCCACGCATGCCACGACCGAGCGAGTCGGAACTGCTGCCGAGGTTTGCTTTGCTACTTCACGGCGCAGGCCATGGCAGAGAGTTGGAATACAGTTTTGGTCTGTGAGGGGAAGCTGCCCGAAGTGGAGGCCAGGCCTGACGGCGTCATCCGTTACGGAGCTGATGGCATCGGGTGTTTGTCCAAGGGGCGAACCGGGTGCCTCCTTGAACCGGTGAATTTGTTTGGGTGTGTCTTCCTCCACGAAGCGACTGGCTTGATCTCAATGCACCATTAGCCAAGTTGCAGATGATATCCATGACATTGTCTCGCCAAGACGGAGCATGTGTTGTTTGTGCGTGTGCGTGTTGTTTTGTGCGTGTGGGTCACCACTTGAAATGCATGCAGTGAAACACTGAGGAAGAAGGGGTGAATGGTTGGATCACTCTGGGTTTTGCACTGGGTGGGGTCGCATTTGACATAGCGTGCCTTCTGGAGTTCTACAAGAGCAACAAGAAACTGGGCAGCAGGATGCAGCTGAACTTGCCGATAAAAACAACAGCGTTCCTTTGCAACGGCGTTGTTTGAGGTTTCATGTTGGCCTTTGGGAATGATTAGGAATGCACTGAATACCTAGGTTTCAGTCTAAAAATTCACTTTTGGATCAGGATCCCCATTGGAATTTCCTCTAGGAAATGGGTACCCTTAACCCAGTTATAAGGCCTATTTTTTTTACAGAACGGGTGTCCCTGAGAGTGCGGTTTTCCATAGATGTGCAGATGTTATTTTGCCACAGATAGAGACATTTCAGATATGACCAGATGCTTTGAGTATTCATAAATACAAAAGAATACAATGTTCCAGAGGTTTGGGAATCTTGGGTCTCCAAAAAAAAACAATTTTCCAGAGGTCTTTGAACTTGGGGCTTCTGCAGGAAGAGTTCTGAAATATTGTTGTTTTTTTTATATATTTTTTTTTTCACTTTTTTTGGTTCCTCTATCTGGCGGCCCAAGCAGACAGGGGACATCAATAGGAGGAAACATTACAATACATGAATGGCAAAAATCATATCTAGTAAGCAGAGAATGGTTGTGCTGCAGTATCACAAGAGCAAGGGATTTTAACAATGTATATTTGGTCAAGAGTGAAAAAGTAAGCAGATGAATAAATGCAACAGAATTTAGTAATAGGATTAACAACAAGATTGATGGATACAAAAAACAGGATAAAGTGGCTGATAGAGAGATAGATGAAGCAAACTATATTAATGAACATTGGTGTCTGAAACATTTCCATGGTTGTTGTGCCCACTGTGGAATAAAGTTTTATATTGAAATGAAGCAAGGCAACTTATCAACAAACTTCACAGCACAAAGACTAGACAATGTGACAATACACTGTGCCATTCTGTGGATAATTGCACTCCATACTGTAAGTATTGTAATTGTAGTGCTCACAGATTATTGTAATTGTAGTGCTCACAGATTATTTTAGAAAAAACTTTTCAAACATAGTTATATTACTTTATATATATAATGAGTTCAAAGCAAGACATATTGAATGGTGTATATTGTGATAGAGCGGGTTATGGAAGTAACGCAACAACTTTAAGAGATGCAAAAAAATCTGAAATAAAAATGGTTGCTTTTGATTGTTTTTTTTCTTTTTTAACATGTTGAGATAAAGAAAAACAAAGAGGTCAGAACAGTTGTGTAGCACCTCATAAGAATCATACCTACCAACTTGACATTTTTTTTTATATCACTTGATGACATTGAAGCAACACAAAAATTCAGAGCGGGTTTAGTAAGGATAGATGTTCTGAGTAACTATGCTGTGGTAGTGCCAATAAAGAGTAGAACCCCACCTGACATGATTACTGGAACTATGGAAGGCTTACACAAAATGGGAAAGAAGTGCAACATTTTGTATACTGATGATGAAAGAGGTATAGCAAGTGCTGATTTTAACGAATATGTGGATGGTGAAGGCATTGAATTACACAGGGCAAGAGGACATCCTGCCTTCGCTGAAAGATTTATTAGGACATTTAAAGATAACTATTTAAACGAGTTGAACATGATGAGAAGAAGGGAAAGCAGAATATACAATGGACTGACTACATATTAGAAATAATGCTGACTTATAAGAATAAATATGTGCATAGTGCAACAGGACTAATACCCAATGAAGCAAAGAACGATAACAATGAGTTTAAAGCAAAATTGAATGTATCAGTGAAAGCAAGGAAAGAAACGATATATCCAACATTAGAGGTGGGAGACAAGGTAAAAATAATGAGGAAGAAAGCAATTACAGAGAAAGAGAGAACACGTCGTTTTTTACAAGGTGAATATACAGTAGAAAACATTGCAACACAATTAGGACACAAGTATTATACATTAGAAGGACTTAACCATCCATTATTAAGGCATGTTTTGTTAAACATATAGTTATTTAATAAACATGCATTTTAAAGGAAATCCATTAAATAAATATTATGTTATAGCACTACTTAAAATGATAAAACAGCGCACTCTGACAAACACCCGGACTCTTTTTTAATAGAACATATTTATTATTGTTTTTTTTTTTTAATTCTGGATGCATATGCATTTTATAACAATCGATGGTATTGATGACAGGGTGAAATACTCTTCGACAAGACGTTGGGCATATCATTTTCTAGAGGGCATAAAAAAGGTCAGTGTTCATGTTCGTTTTTAATGAACGCATGAGCGCAGCATGAACGGCATGATATTTGTTAAAGTCTATTTAAGTCTACTTTTGTGAATCGTCCTGGACCTCTCTATAATGGATCTTCACAACCTCCGGTTTAGCATTGACATAGATGATGAAACGGTTCTCTAGAAAATGCAAATCCAACCTTCCTTTGGCAATTTTTCCTCAAATTGCTTCCAAAGGTTGTGTAGAATCATTTTCTAGAGGCCAGCTACTGACCGTCCCACTCGTGTTATATAGTTTTTACTTTTTTAGATCCGTGTGCATTTTATAGAGCACGTTTTTGAGGCATCCGCTGTCATTTTCTAATATTTTCCTGACCCCAACATTTTTTATACCTACAAAATGGTCCGCCCAACCCCTCCTTGAAATCCAAATAGGACTTTTGGACTTGGTGGAGGAACACTGGTCAGATCTGGTTGGATGTATCAGCATTCGGCTGCCCTTGACCATTCACTTCAGATGAAGCACTTGTGTCATCATCAGGAGACTTCAGTATTTTGTGCTCTCTAACTCTCCAGCCAGATCCAAGGAAAACTGGTTGCGCCAAGAGTGTGAATATGTTCACCGCCTTCTTACATGTCAGCGCTGACTTTCTTCGTTCGACTGCCACCTGGCCATACCTGGCCTCTTGTTTGGGCACACATGTCTCGTGGAAGCCAGAAAAAATATGGATTTTGGGTCGATGTCCCTTGACTACCTTGTGACCCCCAGACACCAACAGATCATACACACGATGTTGGTTTACCAGAGCCATTTGTGGGGATCACGTTATGTGGGAATTGGATTTGGAATGTCCGGAGTCCTTCTCTCCACTCTCTCCACTTTCATCACACCGAGATAACTCATCAGTCGCCAGTCGCCACGTGCTCTTCACGGGCCCAAGTAAAACTTCAACACTCCTGCTGGATTGCTCGTCACATAGTCAGAAGCTTGTCAGAAACCGGTCAGCATAGTACGTCCCCGGTCAGCTCCACCAACCGGCTCCTTGGTTCATGAACTCGCAGTCCTTTGGCATGGAACTCATGAGGAACTGATGAAAGAACGCTTCCCACAGAGTCCTTGTCCAGATTCTTGCTACCCAGATTTGGGCAAGTAAACATTGCAACTAGAATAGGATGCCGAACACAAAGCGTAGGACACATGCACCGACTCTTTCGTCCTTTCAATCTATTTTGGAATCAATCCCGAAGATGCTGCACCGCCTGATGAATCTTCAACCGTTACTACAGAGAATGCCTGTCTAGGCAATATCATGTGCTGTTGCATCCCTTTTTTCGCATGTCCCTCAGAAACTAGCATGTCCCGGAGGACTGTAACCACCCGCTCCCATTGGATTCACTCCATTTGCATCAGCATCGTTTGACATCCAACCTGTCGAAATATCTTCCTGGGTGCCATGCCACAGATTGGCTGGCTACCGGATGCCCCTTTCAAACCTCCAGCTGTGCCTCCTGGAAGCATGTGCACTCCAGAAGGTTTTCGTAGAGGTTATATACTAGAAACCGACCAAGGCCACTTTGGTGATGTCATTGCTGATCCTTTTCTGTGGTGTTGACTCCAACTGCATTGATGCCTACACTGGGCTCTTCATTGGCTTCACGATCTTTGCCGGTGCCTTCTTTGGATTCTTCAAGTGGCTCAAGCTCGCGCTCAGCCTGTGTCGCCTGACCGAGTTCGCCTCCGGTCAATAGGACCGGGGATGTTTAGACCGAGTTCGCGGTGGCAACCGAAATTGTAAAAGGATTTGTAAAGATTGGTCCAAGACCCTTGGCCGCCTTGGCGCGGCCCAAATTGGACATCTGATGACTTTTATTTCATGTTATTTCTACTGAACGTCCTTGAATGCATAGGGCACGGGAGAGTTTTACAATTGTCAGAGGCTGTGGTGTGGTTTTTCAATGTCTTGCTTGGCCAAAAGTTTGGCCGTGCTATGTAGTATGAAGTGCAAAACTGTAAAACCTATTACTGTATTCTTAAGTAATTATCAAACACTGTATTACTGTATGATATAATATAATGCAACGAGTAAACAAAACATGCAGCCAGACAAGAAGTCTTGCGCGTACCTCCTGGTCTGGCAGGAACCACCTTTTCTTACGACCGGTTTGCTTTCAGACACCTTCGCACAACCGGTTTGCTTTCAGAGTAGGTCATTGAAATATTCTTCCAGCATAGCAGGTTTTGAGAGTAGATGGCACAAGCCATAGGGTGGGGAATCCTCCCAAGCACCGAAGGGGGAAGTTAGGCCATTTGAAGCCATTCTATCTATACATGTTTTGTACTATCGTACTCCGTATATATATATATTAGAGATACACTCTTTCCACGGAGATGATTGCTGAGCTTCTGAAGAAGGTTCTTTTTTGCTTGTTCTCAACTGTCCAGCAACTGGAGGGCAACCGGTTCTTACAGCCAAAGGCCAAAGTTCAAGGAAAGCTGACCTATGTGCAGAACCAACGCGTTTACCGCAGAATTTGCTTCCAAAGAATTGCTGGATCTGAATCCTGGAGCAGTCAGGCAGGAGCCTTGGTATACAAGAAGGAAGCAAACATCTGATGGCAGGAATGCCTCTCCGCCCATCGCAGACTCCCGCGTGCCCCGTCCCACGAATCCTGGCAGTGAAACTTTTGGACCTGCGACTCCTGCTGGGCGCTGTCCAGTGTGTTTCTTGTCGAGACGCTTAGACTTAGACTTAGAAGAACACACTAGCAAGCTAGACACCAGATGCTTCCTGGGAGATCCATGTGTTGCAGTGCCGAAGCCCGAATACAGACCTGAAACTTACTGCAACACAAAAGGGATTGTCAATTCTTTGTGTATAATTGGATATTTGAATATATTTGAATCATGTTTCAGCAAATCTAGTTCAGGAAACTCAATGACTCAATGTCCTACCGCGGCTAAACAATTGGTTTTGGGAGTCTCAAAAATCACGTTCAGCTCAAAGGCTCTAAGCAACATGTAGATTTTTGTGCAACATTAGCATTGCGCGCTTATCGCGGCCCGCTATTTCTCGATCAGCCAGCCAGCCGGCCGGCCGGCCGGCCGGCTGGCCAACAACCACGGTCCAGCTGGCCGGCCGGCCGGCCGGCCAAGATCCACGGTCAAGCCGGCCAAGATCCACGGTCCAGCCGGCCGGCCGGCCGGCCGGCCAAGATCCACAGCCCAGCCGGCCGGCCGGCCGGCTGATCAACGACCGTCGGCTACTACTACTACTAACTACTACTACTACTACTACTACTACCACCACTACCATTACCATTGCCACTACCACTACGACTACTACTACTACTACTACCACTACCACTACCTACTACTACTACTACTACCACTACCACTACCACTACCACTACCACTACCACTACTACTACTACTAC